TTTTTCTGCTTGGAAGCAGTGATTTAAATTTTGGTCTTACAAAAACAAGTGATATGTCACACCTGAAAACATTTGGAACTAAAGGCTGTAAACATTCCTGGCCAAGTCTTTGATATAGAATTGTGGTTTTTTAAGACAGAGACCAGTTGGAGAGGAGTTTTGAAGTTAGAAATACCAGTTAAAGTTAGAGATAGCAGTTAAAGTTAGAAACAGCAGTTAGTTAATAAGATAATCAGGGAAGTAACAGGTGAAAATATAGCCATGAGAAAGTAAAAGGAGTTTCCCTTTTTTTTTTTTTTTCTTTTGGAGCTTGGGGTTAGATAAAAGTTAGTGCAATTTAAGCGGCACAGGGATTCTTTGTTTTTTTTTTTATTTTTTACTACTTTTATTAAATTAGAATAGATTAGTTATAGGAATAAGAAGTTTTTTGATTTTAGCAGTAATTGGACTTGATTACTGGTGTATAAGGTGAATTTTATGTTTAAGATTTAGGAATTTTATAAATTTTGATTAATTAGTAATTTAGCAGTTTAAAGGAGTTAAGTTTTAGTCATATAAGTTTTTTTGTTGTTTTGCTGTTTTTAGCATTAACAGAATGATTACTGGGCATTAGAAAATAAATGATTGTTAGGGGACATTTTGTGTGGTAATTGTATTTACCTTTAGAACAAAGTGAAATGGCTATTATCACCTCATCAAGGGGCCATCAGTTCTCCAGGCGATTTTGAAAAAAATGCCACCATTGTTAGGTTTTTTTTTACTACTTGAAAGCACTCGCTTATGTACTCCCATGGCTTGCTGGAGATGTATAAAGAACTGCTGAGACCTAGGCAGGATGATACTTGCACCCTGATCTACATATCATGTCTCCTCATTCCCCCATCCCTTATCCCTCAAGTCCTCGACACTGTCTTTTCCTGCAGGTACTGTGACACAATAGTTTGCTGGAGCTGGCTTCTGGCAAATTTCTTTAAGATTTGAATACTCTATGGACAACTAAATGAATCTTAGGTTAACAGTTGCTAACAACGTAGGGCAGCTAAATGAACAACATTTACACATATACACATATATAGATATAAAGATACATATAGAGATATAGTACTAATTCATAATCTTAAAAAGCAAAGATTAAAAACTTTAAATACAAACAAAAAGGGACTTGGTTCCTGAGTAAGATGACAAGGACTTACTTTCTCCTGCTTTTCCCTCTAAATACAACCAAATTCCATGGAAATTATCCATCAAACAAACACTGAATGGCTGAAAGGATGAAGACATATTTTTGCAAGGACCCAAGCCTTAACCAACAACAGACAATGTGGGGGACCTCTGGATTTATCTTTTTATCTCCCATACACCCCTAGACTGGACTTAAGAGAGACTTGCAACCTGGAACTGCCAACAGACATGGGGTCGGGAGGTAAAACTGTATTCTCTGTCCAAAATACCTGGAGGGGCCTCCTAGTGGTACAGGCGATTGAGCACAGCGCTGTGAAGCTGTCCACAGCCTCTGCAGTGCCTGTTTGATTCCCGCAGCCTCGGCCTCAGAGCAACCACATGGAGAGCAGACCTCTCCTGTCTTATCCACTACTCCCCTCAGCAGTATATTTCATCAGTCTGCTGTTCTGTTCCCCACTCTGTCTCTGGTGAATCCTCTCACCCTCCCGCGCATCTGGCCTATACCCCGGCTCTTGTATAAAAAAAAAAAAATCTTAAAAAAAAAAAAAAACTTGGAGAAGGGAAACATAGTGGGAACCCAACTCCCACTTCACAACCAGGAGCACCTTACATTTGCAGTGGCAAAGCAACAAAGACATAGGCCATGCCCAGCCTCACTACAAAAGTACTGTGGAACGGTAACAGAAATCAACAAAGCCCTGGAACAATCTCATCCAAATTTGATAATAGTAAAGCTTTAACACTTTAACCTTCCCAAACCCTGCTTCACAGACCAAAGTGATGTTTAAATCCACTGAAAGTATTGATACCCAGCCCATCTCAGCACTACTGGTTTACAATGAGGGCACCTGAAGGCCAGTCTAATCTGAAGCAGGAATAAACATAGGAAAGCTCTGCATCTCTATCCTATTCTTTATCCAGTGATAAAAGGAAATCTAACTTCATTAGCTCTGACTTTAATCTCTGCAGGGTGAATAAGGACATAAGGAAACTTAGAAAAGCACCTTCCATTCACACCACACAGCACCAGCCAGTGATGGAATCCTAGAAAACTAAAAAATAAAACAGATCCAAAATCACTATAAAGACTCCAAACATGTCCTTGGAAATACACAAAAGTAGACAAGAACCTACACATTAACGAAAACAAGGCAACTATGCTATAACAGATACTTAAGTACAATTAAGGCTCTCCTAACACAATAACCAAATGAAAAGGATACAATCAAAATAACTAATCCCACTAAAACCATGAAAAATAGCCTGAACAAAATTATGATCTATGAATACAAAGTGAATCAGTTGTTGGAATTGTTTAGCAAGAATGGTAAAGTTATCATAAAAATGTATTATCACTTATAAATTCTCTTGAAATAAATGAAAAGACAGAAACTCTCAAAGAATTGGAAGTTATAGAAACGAACAAGTTTAAGATTTGAGTAATCTATATATATTATTTTTAATTTTAGCCATCCTTATAGGTATGTTGGTATTTAATTATTTTTTTAATTTAAATTCCCCTAATGACAATGAGATGAACAAGTGAAAACCATAAATACTACTTCATACCCATTTAGGGTGGTTATTATCAAAACAAAAAGACAAGTGCTTATGAGGAAGGATATAGAGATATTGGAACCCTTATGCACTGCTGGTGGGAACTATGGAAAACAATTTGGTGGCTCCTCAAAAAATTAAAATTATAACTATCATATGTTTCAATAATTTCTTTTTGGGATTATATCAAAAAAATGAAAGGAGGGAATCCAAGAGATACCCGAACACCTGTGTTCACAGCGTATTATTCACAACAGACAAAAGGTGGAAATGACCCAAATATAGACAAATTCAGAGACATTCCACATTATACTGTATGTGTATACCACATGATTCACTTAGTGATGAACACTTGGGTTGTTTCCATCTTTTGGTTATTGCAAACATGCTGTTAGAACCCTGGAGTACAAATAACTGCTTGAGTCCCTGTTTTCAATTCTTTTGAGTATATATTTAGGAGCAGCATTTAATTTTCTGAAGAAATCACCAAACCTCTTTCAATAGCAGCTATACCGTTTCATCTTCCCACCAGCAATGCACGTTAGTTCCAGTTTATCAACATTTGCTATTTTCCTTTTTTAATTTTTTTTAAAGTAATAGCCATCCTAGCATGTATAAAGGGGCATCTAGTAGGGTTTTGGTTTGCATTTCTCTAATGACTATTAGTAATGCTGAGCAACATTTTCATACATTCACTAGCTAAATGGAAAAATGTCTATTCAAGTCCTTTGGGCTATTTTGTTGTTGAGTTTCAGAAATTCTTTATATATTCTGTATATAAATCTTTTCTTAGATACACTATTTGCAAATATTTTCTCCCATTCTGTGGGTTATTCGTTCATGTAACTGATTATGTCCGTCAGACCAGTGATGAGAATAGAAACATATGACATGTCCTTATGTTAAAAAAACACTAAATAACATAAAAATGAATTCTCACAAATTATCATACAAATTAACTGAAATTCTAATTAGAATCTCAACAAAATATTATTGGGACTTGGATAAAACCAAAACAGTTCACTGGGAGAATAAAGAATGAAAACAGCAGAGGAATAGAAAATATCTTTAGATCAGAAATACTATAAAAACTATTATTAGTAAAACAGTATTGTGTTGACAATAAACAAAGAGACCATAATTCATGTTAAAAATGATATGTGAGACTTAATACATGGTAAAATAGTATATAAATAAAAGAATGGATTGATTAATAAAAGGAATTGCACAACTGACCATTTGGAAGAAAATAAAATTGTAATATGTCATAGAACACCAAAACACATCTAGATGGGTTTAAATTTTAAATTGAAAGAAGTCAAGGATATTATATATACATTATGATTGACCTTTTAATCAATACAGGAAGTTCAAAAGTTTTAAGTTAGACATTTGACAAATGAAATTTAAATTTTTTATCCATCATATAAAGATATTAAACAAATCTGTAATAGACAAAGAGTCATTTGGAAAAGTATCAGTTGCACAAATCACAGATAAATGGTTACAGATATAAAATCCAAAGATCTATCATAAACAAGAAAAAGCAAATGGGAAAAGGTCATAAATAGACAGCTCAGGAAAAAAGTAGATTAAAGCAGAAAAAGTACTTAAATCAATGATAATAACAGAAATAGACAATAAAATAAGAATGAAATTACTTAATACTAATCAAACTGCCAAAAAATAGGATAGTTGATAATCTCAGGTTTTTTTTTTTTTTTACACCGTAAGTGTAAAAGAAAATTGTGAAAGCCTCTTCTGAAAACACATATATGCACACATACACGCAAACACAGTATTAATGTTTTCAGTTAGGCGCAACAAGGAATATGGAAGAATTCAAAGGTGGGAATAGCAGGAAGATGGGAGTAATGATTAATAGCTTTTCCTCTTTAATCTTGACTCTTCCCTCAAATGAAGGACTTATTTGAAAAACACAAATAAAGAAAACTTTAAAAAGTGACTTTACACTTTTAAAAGCACATATAATTACCTAAAAGAAATAGAGAAAAAAGAGGAGAGAAAAAGAACACTGACCACGACTTGGAATCAAAAACAACTTCTTACATTTCACAACTGTGTCTAGGTTGACATTAATCTTTGTCACTCGACACAAAACATGCACCACTTCAACATTTCTCATTTCCAATATTTATCCAGGCAAATAATACCCATGGGTATATCACAAACCTGATTTGTTGACTTCATTTGATTCTACAATACATCCCACAGAGGCTTCTTTCTCTCTTGAAGAAATTGTCACTGAGTTTGGGTGTGATTTCTGGTACTGACCCTAAAAGAGATACATTAGATCAACTCCATTAAAATACCATCTGATTAAACACATTTGATTTTAAAAGGGAAAAAAAAGCCAGTATTTAAAAACCAGCAGGTATAGTTGTATACTTAAATAACTACTTTGGAAAATTATTTGGCATTATCTAGCAAAGTTGAAATTTCCAATCACAGAAATGATTCTGTTCTCAACAGCAAAAACGTAGTCAGAGAGAAGACCAGATAAATTAGTGTATAATTATATAAGATAATATCACATATACAATAGTGAAATAAACTACAGAAACCTGAATAAACAATTGGTAACAAAGAAAAGCATGTTGCATAAGTTAATACTGATCCTATTTAGAGACTCAATCTATACAAAAAGTTAATATTAGCAGGTATGGTCACTTAAAGGTCCTATTTATAGGGGTAGTCCTTCGTTGGAATCTAGGTATTTGGTTTTCAGAATGTTCCCTCCTTGACTAGCAGATAAGGCTGTATCTGCTATACCAGCCTGCCTAGATGTTTGTTTGTGTAAATAATATGATTTACGGTCAATACCGTCCTTTTTCCTTCAGCGATTGCAGAATTTTGGTGAGCAAAGGCTGCCTTATAACCCACAATAAAAACTCAAAAGAGTTCCCTGGGCAGAAAGATTGTACAAATTCTACTGCATATTTCATTTCACTGTGACAGGCAATGATTACACTTTGCGTGGTCCTTTTAAGGATCATGGGAAGTCTGGCATTAAAGTGCAAGCTCTGCCTTAAACATTTTCTTTTTCTCTTACAGATCTAGCTGTGTATCCAGACTGCATAGTTATATTAATCTCAGTTATGAGTACAACTATATACTGAGTCTCATGAAACCATTTGATGAAACATCTAACATGTGAATGGTAATCGGACTCTTATTATAAGCAGTAGACATGATTTTGTCAGCATATAACCCTGTGTGGTAACAATATAAAGGATAGAAATGATGAAGACAAAATTCAAAAGTGATTACCTCAGTGCAGAGAGGAAATAGCAAGAGGCACATAGATGCTTCAGGATATGTGTGTGATTGCTTATAGCATTTTTAACACTTTACATGCATTATATATTTTCTTTTATAAATCTGAAACATATCAATTCATTTAAAAATTTAAAAATTTTGAAAATCTAGAAAAGAGACAGCTCATCATATTCTGCAGATGAGAAAGAAAACTGGTAAACCATTTTACAGAAAAACCCTAACATTTAATAATTTCACTTTAGGGCCTCCCCAGTGCCACAAGGGTTAGGACACAACCTATGAAGCTATCCGCAGCACAAGTTCGATTCCCAGTCAGCCAGGGAGCAACCCACATGGCACAAGCAGACCTCTCCTGACTCACCCACTGTTCTCCTCAGCAGTGTACTTCGATCAATCTGTCTGTTCTGTTCCCCACTCTGTCTCTGGTGAATCCTCTCACCACCACACCCCACCTCGCACCTCTGGCCTGTACCCCTGCTCTTGTATGCATAAATAAATAAATAAATAAATAAATAAATCTTTAATAATAATAATAATAATAATAATAATTTTACTTCAATGTGCATATCCTAGAGAAATTCAGTTTACAGCATGTATACAAAGGTACATGAAAAAAGTTGTTCAGGGCCTCCCCGGTGGCACAGCGGTTGAGCGCTGGGTTGCGAATCTGCCAGCAGCCTCTGCAGTGCCGGTTCGATCCCCGGCTGCTCCCCAGCCACCGGAGGAGGGTCCCACATGGCACGCAGACCTCTCCTGCCGCCCGCTGCTCCCCTCAGCAGTGTACTTCGGTCCTTCTGCCTGTTCTGCTTCCCGCTCTGGCTCTGGTGAATTCTCTTACCCTCCCGCGCTTCTGACTGTACCCAGTGCTTGTATAAATAAATAAATAAATAAATCTAAAAAAAAAAAAGAAAGAAAAAAATCAAAATCAACAAACAACTTTATAAAAAAAAAAAAAGAAAAAAGTTGTTCACCATATCATTGTGATAATGAATAGCTGGAAACCTAAAGTCTGTGGCAACAGGGAATAAATAATTAAGCCATTTACCCCATTCATGAATATGCTATTCATGAATATACTCTCGAACTCAATTACACACAGAAACAAAAGTAGGTTTCAGTGTACTCTGTTCCCTCCAGAAACCACATTAAGAAAATGTTTAAATGTATAAATATATAAGGTCTAAGACAAGGAGAAGGGAGTAAATGAGTAGATATCAAAAAACTTTTTTAAGGTGAAGAGCAGACTGACTAGAAGCTACTAATCAGTCCAGAGAAAGTAGCAACTCGCTAGCTATGGAGAAATTCCAAACATGATTTACATTTTTGGAGAAATCCACAAGATCAGAAATTAGAAGTACAAGGCACCTCTAAAGTGGGGGTACAGGTGGGACTTGCAAACAAAGATTTAGGTTTGTATAGGGAGTGGTAAGTCACTGAATCTCTTCTCTCCAAACCCTAGCAGAAAATTAGATGAGAGGGCCTCTTTGATGACGCAAAGGGTTAAGTTGCAGCACTATGAAGCTATCCACAGGCACTGCAACACAGTATGAGTTCGATCCCCTGTGGACCAGGAAGCTAACCCACATGGTACAGCAACCCTCTCCTGTCTCACCCACTGCTCCCCTCAGCAGTGTATTTCAGTCAGTCCACCTGTTCTGGTCCCCACTCTGTCTCTGGTGAATCCTCTCACCTCCCGCCCCTGCCAACCATATGGCCTGTACCCCAGTTCTTATATGCATAAATAAATAAACCTTTAAAAAAAAAGAAAAAGAAAATGAGATGATTATTCTCTTGAGCTTCATAATCAGAGAGACTGTTAACTCAATGACATGAGAGCAGTGGAAGGTAAGTGTAATACACTAAAAGTGGAAGCATTCAAAGTGCACCCTTCCCCTTTGCCCCACCTAGCCAAAAATATTGTTTGATTAAAGACCTCCCATGCAGCAGAGATTTGTTAGAAAACTTAGAGAAAAAAAAAAACCCCTGACATCTACAATGACATAGCCCAGACAGTCATACCACAGTGAAATTGCTAATCTATAAATTTTCCTATACATAAAGAGCTTCCAATCACCACTTTAGTTTCTCATTTTTAAATATGAGGAGATGGCTAATGATCACTAGACATTTGACAGCAGGCTCTAGTGTAAAAGGCTACTAGCAAAATAAGCAAAAAAAAAAAAAAAAAAAAAAAAAAAAAACCAGCAAGTTAATGGAAATTGAAACTGTAAAGCCTTAATGAAAAGAATTAGAGGAATCTAACATCTAGGAATATCACAAAGTTACAAAGTTCCAGATCTCTAACAACAGATGGCAAGATCCTAAAAGCTTACAAAGACTAAATAAACAAATTAAGTCACTGACAAAAGATCAAGGAATCAGAGTGGTACCAAAAACACAAGAAGCTAAAAAAAAAAAAAAAGAGTATATCTTTAAAATTTATTTCCAACCTAGAATTCTATATATACTCATCATCAGTGTAAAATCATGGTATTTTCAAACATTTAAAGCATTAATTTCTCAGGAAGTTACTAAAAGATGAGCCCTCACCAAAAAAGGAGAGGCCAAGAAAAAGGAAGATTTGAGATCCAAGAACTGTAAAGGGCAATATATGAGAGAAGAGAAGGGATTTCCCTGAGTAAAGGAAAATCACATGACAACTTTATATGACAGGTAACAACACCTATGTGACAGGGTAGATTGGAGCAAAAAACAAAGAATAGACTTCTAAGAAAAATAGCTCTAGGAAAAGAAAATGAAAATGATGTGTCCACACACATTGAGAAGACATTTACAATTGACACAGAAATTGGTAATAAACTAGTCATAGGTGTATAGAATACTCAAGTTTCTAGTATTATTTCTAGCACTATATTTTTCTTTCCAATTAGTTTTATGTTTTTGAATAACTTGTCTTAGATTACCAGCTTCAAAAACTCTTTGAAAGTCTGCTGTTTTTGTATAGTTAAATCACCTTGCTTGTTAAAATATATGATCAACAAAAGATTGATGCCCCTATGTAGCCAGACTGTCTTCTTTTTTTAGGAAAAAACCAAACTTGCCAACCTGGATTAGGAATTTCAGTAAATTATCTACATTCCTAAAAATCTAATTTAAGTATTATTTTAGAAGATGTGAAAAATGATTATAATTGAAAATGACAAAGAAGATTGTAATTTGATAATTCCTAGACTTCAACTGCAAAAACAGAAAAGATCAAATCAAAATTTTCACAAAATGCCTCCAAATCTTATTGAAAGTCAATGGCACTACATGGTTCTATTTTAAAAATAAGACTTACAAACAACTAAACTAAAATGTACTTAAAATGTACTAATGATAAACCATACCTATTCTCCTTTTTTACTTACCTCTTTGCTTGGTAACTGATTACAAATGTCTTTTATTTTAGGTGTTGAATAAAACACTGACTTTGTAGAATTTGTGCTAAGATCATTAGCAAGACCTCAAAAAACAGAAAAAGAAATTTAAAAAAATAAAACATGGCATAAACTTTGCTGGTTACTTAAAATACCTATATGACATATGAAGAAGTCTGTTGACTCTTTAAACACAATTTAAATGAAATGTAAACTTCAATTTAATTGAATATTCAAATGTTCCTAGAAGAACTGAAAATGACAAACAAGGTTCCTGAAGAAATATGTACCAGCTGTTCTTTCAGAGTTTATATGCAAGACTTACGTTGCTGTTATTCGTGTTTATTTCTTTGCTTGGCTTTGTGTCTTAATACAATACCTTAATACAATACCAGCATTTAGCAAAGTTTTGGACATAATTCATCATTCCTTTAGAAGGGTTGTAAAACAATAAATATTATCTCTAGCTCTTCAGGAACCCAAAAAATGTTGCATAATGATTTCCATTACATTAAATACTTTCTCTTATTATTTATGGATTTCCGTACTATAGGAATCTAGTACAAACTAAAAAGAATGATAAATTATTCTCAATTTTGCAGTCTTTTTCTCAGTGTACCACAAGGTACATGAAATATTGTACTGGGAAAATGTTTTACATATTCATAAGCATTAGACATATTTTCTGCATTTGATATTAAAATGACAAATTTATACTTTCATCCATCCCAACCTTCAAAGTCCATCTAGAAATAAACCATTACTTTGTTCTTCAAAACAGTCTTGGAAGATTTCCAGTATGTTCTTGTGTTGCTCTGTATTAACATTAAGTGCCCTATTAAGAAGGAAAAAAAGAAAAAATGTTAACATACTACAAAGGCATTTGTTGTTTATGTTAATATCTACTTTGAAATTTCCACATTGCCTTATCAAAAAATATTACCAAATGGAAAATACCACTTTTACTATATGAAGACCAAATACATACTTGATAATACAAGAGATTCCAAAAAAAAGTGTTTGAAACAAGGTCATTGTCTCCATTAACAATTACTTTCCTTGATTGAAACAAACAATTTCACAATTGTTTTATATATAAATAAGAACTTAAAATTTTTTGAACAAATTCAAAATATACTGAAATGGTTATTTAATAAAGACTCTATGATCACAAGTGCTACTAGATCCTAGTAATACAGTCTCCAATATAAGTTCTAAAATGCACTTTTAATATAGTATCATTAATCTGAACAGCGGTTTATAAATCAGAATAAGATGTTTAATTAAAAACTGTACTGAGACAATTGAAGATTCACATTCAGTTGTCAGAAATCATATAAATAAGATCTCTTCTTGTTCACTTGATCCACTCTTTCCCAATAGTAACATTATGCAAAACTATTGTACACTGTCACAACCAAAATACCAATATTAACACAATCTACCAGTATTATTCAGATTTCTGTTCTACAGGTATAACTGAATGTTTGTGTTTGAGTTTATGTATTTAGTTTTTTATAACTTATCACATCTATAGAATCAGTTACTACCAGTCACAGAAATCATCATCTTGGTCAGAGGTAACAGATTTTACACTCCTCATTTAAAAACTCCACTTTTTGAAAACAGGAAAAAAAATCATCTTAAAAACTTAAGTATATGAATTACCTGGATGGTCGGCAAAATCTTCTATAGTCATTTTTGAGATGATCCTGAAAGAAAAATAAATCAATTCAGTGTCTTTGTTTAACAGAGTAACATCCCCCCAATATAAGCACACCCCAGAAAAGTCTTCATTTATTCATTCAACAAGTGTTTTTTAACTGCTTCTAGATCAAGAAAAAGAAAACTTACCTCATTTATACAGTTTACAAAACTTTGCTTATACTAATTTTTCATATCCTGGGATTTATTCTATTTCCTTGTTCTCCTACTCTACCTCCCTCAAACCTTTTCCATCATCAAATCCCAACTTGTCTCGGTTTCCAAAAATTCAAGTTGGTAACACTTAAATAATATTATGTATCTTCTCTGATCACAACAGCACAAAGTAGAAATCAACCAAAAAAGAAAAAAAAATCCAAAATATATTGAAATTAAACAACAAGCCACAACATGAATAACTACTGAAGAAATCAAAGGAAAAATTTAAAAATAATGACACAAGCTGTCAGAATCTATAGGATACAGCAAAAGCAATTTTAGGAGGGAAATTTATAGCAGCACAGGCCTCAAGAAAAATCAAATCTGAAATAATCTAACCTCACATCTAAAGGAATAAGAAAAAGAAGGAAAAAATGAAGCCAAAAGTCAGTGAAAGGTAGGAAATAACAAAAATAAGCATAAAAAAAGTGCAAAATATCAAAAAAATCAAAAGTTGGGTCTTTGAAAACATAAAAAAACCTCTAGCTAGGTTCATAGGAAAAAAAGAGAAAATCTAACAGACATAATCATGAATGAAAGAAAAGAATTGCAACAGACAGCTCAGAAATAGTAAGAACCAGAGACTACTATGAATATCGGTATGTCAATGCCAATAAACCGGATAATCTAAAAGAAATAGACAATTTCTTGGAAACATGCAACCTTCCAAGAGTAAATGGAAAACAAACCTGAAACAAATCACAAGCAAACTGAAACAAACAAACAAAAAACCCAGAAACATAGGGGACAGATGGCTTCACCAGTAGTTCTACCAAGCCTTCAAAGAAGATCTAAGTATTCTCAAACTCTTTCAAAAAGTTGATGAACCATCATGTTTCCAAACACACATTATGAGGCCCACACTACTCATCAAAAAGAATGAAGTATCTAAGAATAAACTTAATAGAAGGAGAAAATGAAAACCACAAGATATTGTTAATAGAAATGTTAAGACACAAAATAATTAAAAGATATGTCCCACACATGGATAGGAAGAATGATCTCTAACATAAATCAACTTTTGGTGATTATGTGTTAATACTACTTCATCAACTATAGCAAATGTATCACTCTGGTGAGGGATATTGATGACGGAAGTAGCTATGAATGCACTGGGGGCAAAAAGTATATAGGACATCTGTATCTTCCTCTTAATTTTTCTGTGAACCTAAAACTGCTCTGCAAAAGAAAAGTTTTTATTAAAAAAAAGAACTGTGTCTTCTGGTAAGCTTTATTCCCCTTTTCTTCTTTACCAATTAGAATGACTTTATCGCTCTTTTCTGATTACATGCAATGTAAACAATGTATGTGCCCATACATACAAGGTCCCGCATCGGGACCTTGAGACCAGTGTAAAACTTCTCAATGGTACTATTATAAAGTTACTATTTGAAAGGATGAGAGGTAGAAACTGTGGAGGCCATTGAAGAAAAAGATGTCCCTGTGTCATCTCGTCACTCACAGCCGGCGCAGCTATGCACCATCTCTAAGATCAGATAATAGTGATGACGATGACGGTTCGTATTTTATTTTTTCATATGTGTGGGTTATATTTGCAGAAAGCTTTGCCAACACATGATTTAAATGGGATGTCCTGAAAGGAGTTCTAGATCAGGAGTCTTGACACCTGCTTAGTTCTTAACTAGTGTGCGACAAAGATGCCACAGATTTTGGCACTGTCCTGGATGAAAGGTTCGGCGCGGTAAAGACAAGGAGAGCCAGGCTACATTTCTCAAAGGGAGGGAAAGTTTATTGCGCCCCTGGCGGACCTCACGCACCCAAGGTGGGGGTCAGTGAAGCCGCGCAGGGTTTTATAGGGCGAGGAGAGGTCAGGTGGGTAGTTGGGCTCCTATGGCGGGAAAAGTTTGTAGGGCAGGTATCGGTTCTTTGTCTGAGACGAGACTCCTAGGGGGAGGGGGGAAGCTCATTGCCTGAGTCCTCCAGGCAGGTATCCACATTCCTGCCCCCCAGGTGGGCTTCAGGGTAGGTTTTTGCATTCTGGCCTGCTGCACGGGACCTTTCATACCAGCCTTTTGTTGATAGGAAAAGGGGCCATGGTTCTTTCTTTGGCTACTTCCTGCTGAAAAGGGGCGAAGATCAAGGGGGTGGCTAAGGCCTGGTTATGAGGGTCTTCTGCAGGGATGGGAGAATATGGGTGGAGAAGGGGTTGGTTAAAGGTGGTAGGAGACATTTCCCGAATGCGAGCCTGTATGAACTTTAGGAGACAAGGAGCGAAAAGAAAAAAATAAGGTTATCATTAGTATTGGCCCAAAGAGTGGGAGGAGCCATAACACTATAGGATTTTGAAACCATGTCATTGGAGAGTTGGAGTCCCCGGTTTTCCATTCCATGTCTTTGGGTATTTTTATTAAGGCTTCTACATTTTGTTCTACAATGCCCGATTTGTTGATATAGTAACATTATTTCCAGAGAAAAAAGCAGGTACCCCTTTATTAGCTGTTAACAACTCCAGAGCCCGCCGGTTTTGGAGAGTGACCTGTGCCAGGGAGGTGAGCTGTCTGTGTAATGATGCTAAAGACACACAGGTTTTTTCTAAGGAGGTATCTTTTTATAAAATTTCTGGGCAGAAATCAGGCTGTGTTCCAGGGCCCCACCTGCCATACTTGCAGCTGCTATCGATGATGCCAGGCTGATTACAACCATGATTGGAAGAAAGGCTGCCCGCTTAGTCCGATGTGGTGAGAATAACTAACCTAGCTCAGACTGTCTGTACAGAGTTAACTGTGGGACCGTGAGGACTTGGATACGTGGGCCTGGAGTAGCAGAATTAATACACTGAGAGAGAGAGCCATTGCACCAGAAAAAGTTTCTCTTTGCTGTTGTTTGGAGTACAGAAGTAACCGAAATGTTAGAAGCACAGGAATGAAAGCTGACAAGGGCATCAGTTGATAGCAGGGGTAGCTGTGATTGGAGTCCCATAGGGGGACTGAGAGTTGGGGAGTCTGGCAAGCAGTGTCCGTTATTTTGGTCGTAGTGGTATTGAGATTAATTGGACGTGCTGCCAGTAGAGGCCTCCAAAGGGAAGCACAGAGGAAACAAGAGGAGGTGTTAGTTTCAAAAAAATCATTTAGGAAGGTTATAGCGTTTTGGATTATATGAATCCAGGTTGAGGGTGTCTCGGTCTTTTCTGATGATGTTAGCTAATTTTATAGGATTTGTTCTGAATGGAGGATGTCCTGGGAGACTTGGACTGTGGCATTTTGTGTCGGGACATATTCTCTTGAGATGGACAGTGTTGCCTCTGGATAGGAATGCCAGCCAGTGCACAATGCGGCTTGGACTCCCTGTACCCAACGTTGGTCCCAAGGATCTGAAATAGCATAGCTAACTTGATTCATATTGAAGCCCGTATTATGATGGACCAGAGAGAACATTTGGCCTTTGTCTGGAAGGTGCACTGTGCATGACTGGTAAGGGCAACCCCCATATTCTCTATAGGTATTTTTGCAGTGATCTAAGGTTTGATGGTAAAGAAACAAAACAAGGTGTTTATAGGGTTAGTAATCAATGAAAGAGTTAGGGTGAGAGTGATGGGTGCTGTGCATCTGGCCTGTGGGCACTCGCAGTACCCACCTAGTGGGTGGTCTCAGTGGATCCTGAGACAAAGGTCTCCATAACTTTGAATTTCCATACACAGGACACTGAGCTAGGGGAGATTTTGACAAGAAATGCACATCCTAGTAGGACCCAGGTTATAGCATACATACTGTTTGTCTTCAGGGGCACGTTTGACCCATGATAGATGGTGCCAGGAGGGGTGTCCCAGAAGTGTTACCGCTGTAGGCATGGTGAGAATAACCGTGCATGGGCCGGTCCACCGAGGCTGC